GAGCGTGGCTGCGGCGACGGAGGAAGCGGGGTTGCATGTACGAAAAAAAAAAGAAACCGAGGGAAGCAGGACGATGCTGTCGCCACAACCGCCCCTTCGTCCCACAGCGTCCAGGGAGGAGCGGCTCTTTATGTGTCTGTTTGGCATCCAGAGGGTTAACGGTACTGTGGAAAGTGTGCTTTGTAAACAATTTTTTTTTTTTTCTCCTGTTTTTTTCTGTAAGTGATTCCAGGGGAGATGGGGAAAGGAGAAAGCTGCCCGCCCCCCAGCCCACCCCCAGCAATACCCCAAAGCCCCGCCGGCTGGGGCAGGGGGCAACGCAGCCCCCCAGGCCCAGCTATCAACTGGCGAGAAATCTCATCCCTTCTCTTTCTCCTCACATCCTTTTTCTTTCTTTTTTTTTTTTTAACATATAAAATACTCACTTACATATTTACCGCTAATAAATGCAAGTTAGTCCCATCAAACATGCTTTGCTTCGATATCAAGAATTGGTGCTGAACAAATCTTGGCTTGATATTAGAAACATCCCCCCCCAACCACCCCCCTCCCCTGACAAAGAAGACAGAAATATCATGGAAAATACAGGTGACACCTACGGAGGACACGGTGCCGCTGCAAGGGGGCCAGCTCCTGGGCATTATATTTGCGCCTCAGCCGGTCGGGGACGCAGTGTGACAACGGCGAGGGACCTCTGCCCGGCCCCGGAGGAATGGAAGCACCCGGGGTCTGCGCCGCCACCATCCCCTGCCTCGCTGCAGGGCCATCTGAGCCCAAAAAACAGCACCCAGGTTCCCCACGGGGCCAAGGGCCGTGGCACCCAGCCCAAGGGGAGCAGCAGTCTCCCCTGGCACACCGCTGCCCAAAGGTAATCCCCAAATCCTGCCCCAAGGAAGGCAGAGGGGATGGCTTGCCACTCCCGGGCATCACTCGTCCCCGAAACTGGCTCTTCTCCCCCTTGCCACCTGCATGTATGCGGGGAAAGGAGGCAGGGGGGCACGGCGGGTCCGTATTGCTTTGCAGGAGAAGCCCCGAGCATCCCTGGCACCTTCCCCACCGTGCCTGCTGCCCACCGAGCCAGGCCTTGATGCCGTTTCACCCACCGGGGCAGGGAAAGCCCCAAATCCCACCCCGGCACCCAGCCGGGGACCGGCAGCCTCCACGACACCAGTAAAGTCCCGACGGTCGGAGATCTTTTGTTTGTTGCAGAGGTATAGATGTGCCCACGGAGAGGGTGCCCTGCTCCGGCCGTCTGTGGGGACCCAGGGGCTCCATAAACCGTATGAGGGTTTCATAAACCCTAAGGATTTATGAAGGCGGTGAGGACGGGTGGCTGACAGCACCCGGCGAGGTAGCAGCGTGGGGAGCTTGTCCCCGCAGTGTCCCCCTGTGCTGTGCCACCACCACCACCACCGGGTTGCAACCGGCCTCATCCTTCCTGCTGAAAATAGCACCCTTGGAGCTGAAATTCTTCTCGTTTCTCTGAAAAAACCCAAGCAAGACACAGCCCTCGGTCCCGCGTTGGTACCCCCCCCGCCTCGCCACGGCACGAGGCAAGCTTGCAGCAAACGGGGCACCCGGGCTCCCCTCGTCCCCGGGCTTTTTCCCTTTTCAAATTTTTTTCCCTATTGAAACAGCAACACGACAGCAAACAGCGGCGATGCCAAACCGGCGGCGGGACGGCAGCCGGAGCCAGCGGATCCCCCTCAGAGAGCCCCCCCC